GTGGGCGCGTGCGTGCGCGTGTGTGTGACCATGTGTGTGGGCGCGTACGTGCGCCAGTGTGTGGGCGCGTGCGTGCGCGTGTGTGTGACCATGTGTGTGGGCGCGTACGTGCGCCAGTGTGTGGGCGCGTGCGTGCGCGTGTGTGTGACCATGTGTGTGGGCGCGTGCGTGCGCGTGTGTGTGGGCGCGTGCGCGCGCGTGTGTGTGAGCCTATGTGTGGGCGCGTGCGCGCGTGTGTGTGTGAGCTTATGTGTGGGCGCGTGCGTGCGCGTGTGTGTGAGCCTGTGTGTGGGCGCGTGTGTGAGCCTGTGTGTGGGCACGTGCGTGCGCGGACATGTGTGTGAGCCTGTGTGTAGGCGCGTGCGTGCGCGCGCGTGCGAGCTTGTGTGTGGGCGCGTGAATAGAGACGCATTAATAGCATTAGATGATACATTCATCCATTCGTCCGTCCGTCCGTCCGTCCGTCCGTCCGTCCGTCCGTCCGTCCGTCCGTCCGTCCATCCATCCATCCATCCATCCATCCATCTATCCATCCATCCATCCATCCATCCATCCACCCATCCATCCATCCATTCATCTATCCATCAGACAACCCCAGCACGTTATATGAATGTGCCACCGGGACATCGTCGAGATTGTACGCGATATTGTACGCGATATTGTCTAGGCGTGAAGAGACCATGAATATTGGTTAGTGCTTAGTTTATCAGGATAAAATGTAGCCGTGTAAAATGGACTTTTATCTGATTGACATTGATCTTGATTGATTCTTGATTTGATTGATTGATTTGATTTGATTTGATTGATTGATTGATTGATTGATTCAACGCTGTGTTGTGTGTGGCTTAGGAGGTTACCTACACGGGTACGGCAAACAGATACAGCATCTGTGTACTTAATTATAGAAATGGCTGACGAATATTCCGATACGCGTATTTAGATTACGTATGAAAATCGTCATCATTGTTATTGCCAAAATGGGGTTGCTGGGATTTTTCATTTCTTCGTTGCCCCATGCATTTTTGGGCGCCCTCTACTTGTTAGTAGTAAAATCTGTATAGGTGCATGGAATTGGCCAGTAGATGGCGTCCATAGACTGCATGCCTGCCATTGAACATTAATTAAAAATATTTCAGGAAGCAAGTTTCAGTACATGCATAACAAGCACTTTATAGCTACTAGCGCATAGCTTACAAATCCGCAGAGTGTAATTTTACGCGTAATTTACTGGTGTTCCCGCCATAGAATCACCACTCAGGATAATTGCATAATATTTCCATACAACCATTTAACTAGGTCTATCTTTGCATTCTGAAGGACTACAAGGTATCTATCTCATCTGTACAATGCAGAACTGTGCACATTGTATTATCACACAAACAGTTTTATGACAATAAGCAGTGCACCGTTAGCGCGAAGCTATTGTTATACCTATGCTAGTTGTTTTCTCAATGTGACTTTAGGGTTACACTAAATGGCGTAGTGAGTCCATAACCTTGAAGCATGGCTTCAATGAATAGCATAGCTAATCAAATTGGTACTTCAACTCGTCCTATGGATGTGAAGTCTACCTAAACTATGTGCAGTTGCTTGATTTCTTGTAGCCTTTATCGAGATTTTTCAACAAGACGTTTTTAGAAACCAACTGTCCGGCAAACGAGGCGATTGTGTACGTGGCTCACTCTAGCGGTATAAGATATGTAGTTCGTGGCGAATGGCACAGGGGGGTCAATCGGCCGTTCTAGTTCTAAATAAAATAAATCTACTCTGTTGGCTTTTAATGTCATTTTCAATCTCTAACTCAAGCTGAGGCTATAGACTCGAACGAGATATTTAAAAAAAGGGAATATGTGCATCCGGCCCAATGGTCACATTAGGTTCGTGAGCGGGTGTGGGTCCTGATAATCCAAATCCACCTGATCCTGATCCCAATCTTGATCATCCCAATCCTAATCCTGATTCCAATCCTGATAATCCAATCCTTTCCAAAATATCGGAAAAAAGATCAGGAGTGAATAAAATTGTGCTCTTTAGATTATTCATTACTATACCCACAATTATTCATTTTAATAATATTTCGTAATGTTATGCATCAAATTGAGCGCTCTATTTTGTTTCCTGTCTTGCCATAATTTTCTCGAAAATATATCCTTAATACTAGATGTGACAGGAAACGACGAGGAGAATATTTCGTTTTTAAAACTAGAAATCGAATTGCAACCATACAAACGCATGCACAGAACAAGTCGTGTTCAGCAGTTAACGCATCAGTTTATTGTTTCTTTGTGATTGATAAAGACGCGGTAAAAGGCTACCATTAAATCACCGTCCGCAACTGCCACGCTATACCCTTACTCCTCTTACAACAACTTGGTAGTTGATTGTAATTATATACATCCGAATAGCACTTAACATCATCAATGCATACTTACATATGCATACTAAACATAGAACTTGTCAATATAGATAAAGGTGGCCTAAATACATAAACGGGACAGCAATAAATTATTTCATCTCACGAACGCACTTATACAAGGAAAACGAAGGAGTAACGTATAAAACGTATATGCGATAGAGATGAAATTGATGGCTCACCCGACGTGGATGTCGCGTTAGGCTATCATTGATAGACACCTTGCGCATTGCTAACATGCTTAGAATCTCAACGAATGTATATTTCTAGTCACGATCGGGAAACGCAATCTCTCAAATACTGACAGCTCAGCGTCAACGCTCGAAGGTAAAATTGTGTAATCTGTTTGCGCATGCGCGCCCTGGCTCTTGTTTCCTTAGCGGGTTTTCCCTTGCCAAAACACAACGCGAGCACAGTTCGTTGTTAGGTACGGTATCTCGACTCACCCAGTGTGTACATGACAACATCAATACGGAATAATTACAGAAAGGTATGGCGGAATACAAGGAGATGAATGGCAAAGAAGAGGAAAGGAGAGGCGAGGAGAGGCGGAGGAGAATGAGAAGAAGGAGGACGAGGAGGATGAGAATAGGAAAAATAAAATAAACTGAAAGGGGCAAATAAGAATGATATTAGGAAAACGAATACGAATCAGCAGGAGTAGAGAAATAAGCGACGGCGTGTGGCCATCGGCAGACGTACGTCAACACAACTCGCAATAATACAGCCATCTTCTACATCTTTGCGCTTGTTCATTGTGTCAGACCAAACGGTCGTAAGTAGATTTCATATCAAAGAAAAGGCACTTGTATCCGAAGGCACTTACGTGTTTTGAGCCTTTCCTGGTAGTGTCTTTGAAAGTACAGCGAACACTCTTCTCGCACGTCGGTTTTAGAAACCGCATCGCGCACACATATAATCGTAATCTCTCTCACGCCGTGCATGTAGCTAAACGTAACATAACATAACATACATACATATATATGACGCTAAACTAATAGATCGTGCCCAGGCAGTATCACCAACCAAGCTGACGCCGCGAGCGAGCTTATACTATGCTGACGCACTGAATAGAAGGCCGTGCTCGTACTGCATGATCACCGTGATTCGATAGGTAATAGTCATATCCAACGTAAAGCAATATACACTCATAGCAATGATTATCGAACAACAGTAGCGAAGGATAAATGTGGATGGATAGATAGATGCTCCATCTCGAATATAGTTAATCAATAATACTATGATCAAATATTGCATCAAGTCGTACGATCACAAATCCACTATCCTAAGTAGCGCATAGTCAACTCCGTACAATCAATAATCGATTTCGTATGATTATCGAATACGAACGTCAATGATGACGTATGGTGTGTGACGTATGATCGTAGATTACAGTGTATCACAGATCCTGCGGCACAATCTGCACTAATAAGTAAGCAAGTAAGTAAGTAGGTATATTATATAGAGCATCTCTTTCTCACTCTTTCTCTCTCTCTCTCTCTCTCTCTCTCTCTCTCTCTCTCTCTCTCTCTCTCTCTCTCTCTCTCACTCACTCACTCTTTCACTCTCTCTATCTATGCTATAACAGCTACACATACATATATATCAGTAGTCATCCTATGATCAACTTCTGATATATATATATATAAATATATGTACATGTATATATTCCCCCCTGTAGGAGCGTGTGAGTGAACGCTGGCTTGCTCTCTACCTCCCTTTCTCGCTCTCTCTCTCTCTCTCTATAGTATAACAGCTACACATATTATGATATATATATATATCAGGGTTTCTTATACATAAGAGGCAC